TGAGCCCCTGCTTACCTGTCGTCGATGATCTTAGAAGTGATTCTGTTTACTTCAGATTCACTGGACCCTGACATCATTTTCCCGCCCGCCGGCAGTCCATCTGCATCTCTCTCTCTCTGCTTTGTGTTCGTGAGTATAACGAGGGTAGCCAACACACGAACGGCTAATAGTAAGTTATACAGCATCATTCGTGCACTCCTCATTCTTGTCAATTACTCACATGTTCGGATACACGGTTTCTTTCGTCTATATAGCTCATGTTAAATCCTTCAGGTCACTGAAGGCGGTTCGTGCTAACTAGCGTTTCGGCTAAATTTCAGTCTACAGCTCCGTTCGCATACAACGCGGTCGTTCCTATTAGTACACACTTGGCAGTCGCTCGTGTAATCCTCTATTTCGCATAGACTTTTGTTATCTGTATTGGCATACCTAACAAGTCAAGGTCATTTTGGTTAAATACAGCATGGGGAAAGCATTTTTTTTTTTTTTAAATTAAACTGCATTTTGTGTGTCATTTCGTTTTACTTAAGCAATTCTTTCAGTACATCGTCTTTTACTTGTTATTTATGCCCAAGTTAAAACATACAGCAATATCCTTATCAGGATGTCATATGGCAGTTATGTTTACATTCACTGTGTAATTTAAACAATAAAGTGCTTATTGCTAAATAAGTATGTCATATTATGTTTTATTTATGCTCCACTGCTGCATCTAATTAGTCCAATTTACACAAGGCTGTATTTAAATAAGATGTCAACTATGTTCATTTTCTTCCCTCCTGTTAAAAATCATACAAATACGGTCACTGATTGCAACAGGTGCCTTCTTGGTTAAATACACTACTCCATTTAAAGAGGTAGCGCCCCCTCCCCCCCAAAAATAAAAAAAATAAAAAGAGGATCCCCTTTGTTAATTGCCGAGTACCGGCTTTGTTTAACCGAACGCTTCTATACTTTACCACCTATACTAACGTGCGGGCCTTTTTCGTGGTCATCGCCCTGTTTAGTGCTGCATTCGGTAGCACTGCTATTCTCCGTACTTAGGCTTATTTACAGCTTTCGTTTACCAGTCAATTTGTTTAGCTAATATCGCCACCTTGCAGTTTTTCAATATTGATTGGCAAATTTCAGTTAATGTATAGCAAATGTTCGTTTATTTTGCAAATTGTATTTTCAATGTTCTGTTCGTTACTTTCATATGGGAGTTATAAATTGTCTTTTATTTTAACTTGCTGGCGTTGCAGTAGAAGTTAAAACTTCGGTTGACACAGCGCTGGTAAAGCTTTTCATTCAATTTAAACAGCTTTCAATGTTAAAGCATTTATTGTGTAATTCTTTAAAAATGTCCTTGTTTTCTACTCTCTAAAATATACTAAATCAGTATGTCCTGACGGCAGTTAAGGTATAATTTTATTAAAGTATTTCTCCTCAAAGCATAGCTAATGTGTTTTATAAATATAGATGTATGCTAATTGGGGTAAGATTATGCTTAGATTCTGTCTTGTGCATTGCTAACTGGCGTTTCGGTTAAACTTTTGTATGCATTATCCGTTCGCATTAAAAGGCTTATGTTTTTCCATTAGTATACACATAGTCACACTTTTGCACAAACTTTCATTTATTTGTATAAACTGCCTCATCCCTAGCCGTTCAAGTTCATTCCGTTTATACAGCATTGTGAATATTGAGTACAGTGTGTTAATAGGTTTATATTACGCTCTACTCCTGTCTCCGGCATCTCATGTTCCTAATTACACTAGGCTGTATATAAATAAGATGACAATTAAGTATGTTTTTCCCTCCTGTTAAAGATCGTACAATTACTGTTACTGATTGCTAAGGGGCTTATGGGTTAAATACACCACATTACTTAAAGAGGCAGGCCTCGGAAATTCCTACCTAAATTTAATGTATTTCCTTCTGGTAACATGTACTATAAATAAATAAGTCTCATTAGTTTCAAGTTATCACCCTACCAGGATAAGCCGCACAGAATCCTCATACGTGGCAAAAATTACGACGTCGCCCACATATAAAACAAAATCAAAACCTCCAAAGACCATACAATTATCAATGCAACTATGTTTCATTTCATTCAATTATCTACTCAATAACCAAACATAAAACAACCGATCGCATAATGTTCAACAATTCGTCTCTGCTGTCAGTAGTTATGGTACGGTTAGTAATTATTGTACAGTTAGATAATCATGGTGTTATAGTTGCAATATCAATTGGTAATGGTTAAGGTGTTACAATTATAATGTCGTACAGTAGTTTTGGTGTCGTCAATGTAATGTCGGTAGTTATGGTGTCAGTTAGTAGGTAGGGGGTTGTGTGCAATTATACACTTTACACACTTTTTACAAGACCGTTAAACATCAAAAGCTCAAACCTGTTAGCAGGATACGGATCGGTCTTTCTACTACAGTTATACAGGACAATCAGCAGGTACGTTAACGAAATAAAACCAGTTGGGGTTAGGACAAGGTTTAAGCTCTCGCCAATTTAGGTATGGTCCCGTAGGCCTCCTCGCCTATAAGTCAAGTGGTCCCGCAAGGCATTCAATCCGCCTTCCGTTCAGAGGTTCGAGCCCAATCGGCCCAATGCATAGTTATAGCCTTGCATCAAGTCATAGTTAAGGCCTCACCCGTCACGGCCAATTGATTTTACAATCTTTTACATGTCACCGAGAGGCCAACACCCCGCCACCCGCCTCAGTGGCACAAAGGCCCTACGAGCCAAATCATAGGTAGAGCCTCTCAAAGCCACGTGGCAAGTAGTCAGGTTGTCACCTGTCACCAACATAAGCTAGTTAATACAATTTCGCCTGTAGTCACTACTCCAGTAAGCTGGGTCACTGCAGATCTATACTAACAAAGTCATCTGCCTCACTTCCTTAGCATGTCTAACGTTTCTATACAAGGAGACGTTCTGTCAGTTACCAGCACCCATCTCAGTTCAGGCTCGCAGAGAGTACTATACAAACACCGACTGGGGTCTGTTACACACGGAACGGTTTCTAAGGCATTTTTCGGGTCTCAAAACACCTTCTTGTGCCATAAGCTCAGCAACAGCCCATACGATCAAATTTCATCCTGGAAACGTAGCTATTCCCTCTACTAGTAAGCCAACGCTGGTTATCAGTCCAACACATCCCAGAGGGATTTTGCTAATACAAAGTAGGCATGCCAATTTGTTTTCTAGGTGAAGCACAAATCTGCAATAATTTCAATGCCAGTGGCTGTAGTCAGGGGCGTACCTAGAGCATTTGGCAGCCGGGGCGGATCCTGTGCTTGGCACCCCCCCTAAAAAAATATTAAAGGTTTTCTTTCTTTTTTTTTTTACAATTTGTAAACTTTGCAAAACCGCTGTCAGCCCCTCCTACAAAACCCTTGTCCTGCCCCGCCCCTCCTACAAAACCTCTGTCCTGCCCCTTCTACAAATCCTGTACTGCCCCGTCTACAAAACCCCCACAACCCCCTTCCACAAATCCCCCTGCTTATCCCCCCTTATAAAGACTCCTGTCCCAATACAAAACCCCTGCCCCCTTCTACAAAATCCCTGCAGCCCCACACACACATTTACAGGCAGACAGTCACACACTCAGTTACAGGCAGACAGTCACACATACACATTTGCTCCGTGCGGCCAGTTTATCAGC